ATCATCAAATTATTACGTCTAATTTACACTCTCTTCTTTTTTCTTTTTTCAAAATCCAACGATAACTATATGTATAATATAGGCACAACGAAATGAAAGATTCATGAGTTAGAAAACTCCATAGATGATGAATAAAAGAAAAAACAAAATCGTATGTATGCGAAAAAGAGAAAATGAAAGGTCTAATGAAGAGAATGAAAGAAATAATCCATGAGTGAGAATAAGATATATGTCTAGGGAAGAAAGAGAAAAACAAAGGTAGTGAAGTGAAGAATATATGTACCACTAGCTGAGACCAGTAATATGAGAAAAATAATATGCGCAATTAAGGACAAATCAATCTATACTCGTGGTTATCTTTTTTTTTTCATTAACGCTTGACTGAATCGGATATATTATTATGACTCTCGTCTGCACTTTAATTAATATTACGAGTGATTGACATACTTGCAATACAAATACAGATATCAACAAGTATCGTGAAAGTTATATTCAATTGAAGCTTAAAAAGAAAAAATTATCTCAATTTCATTCAATGTACAATATTATTTTTGGTAAGTTATAAGTTCGAACTAGTCGTTATTATTTGAGCAGCTACCTAACTTAAGTTCAAATATAAATGAAAATTTGAAAAAAAAAGACATTGTGATACATGTTGTCAGAAGAAGAAAATTTAATTATAATTTATATAAGAGATAGAATTATCCTTTGTAACGTTGAGGAAGGTCATTATAAATTTAGTTCTTAGTATTCTCTCTTTCTTTTTAAGTAATTAATTTAATAAAATTTAATAAATATTAATAGTTATATTTTGATTTATTAATTTATTAATTTATTAATAAAAATGTTTCAGAGATCTACTGTCTCAGTTTTCATTTTATATTTTTCTTATGTAAATAAAATGGAAATTCTAACTTTTTCTATTGGTAAAACTGCCTATGTACAGAGTATGACAAAATTAGAAGATTCCCTTCCTAAAATTTTGAGAACAACACAGATTTCTCCAACTAAAGAAAGTTTTTCATTCCCAATCTAATGTCATATCCATGGACACATAATAGCAGTCTATCATGTGCCATATTGGTTTGAGTTTGATCAATTAGCATTAATGACTAAATTCAAAATTTTTGAGATGTGCTTCGTGCTCTCACTCCGTGACGCTTATTTGAAAGATCAGTTACGTGGGGAAAATTGCTTTTCTCCATTGATTATTGACGATGACAGTTTTGAGTTATGAAATAAATGAAAGAGAAATGAAACATTGATTACTACATTTACAGGATTGCCTATAGTAAAAATATAAGTTGCAAAGATCTAATCTCTGATTTTCTATCGTTGGTATAAGAGAAACCTGTATTATTTATAAATTATAATTCGAATAATTTTTTTTCTGCCTTTCTGCTGCAGTTATATGACAGCTCCAAATGAATCATAATTTATAATTCGACTAAATTTTTTTTATTGCTAGAGATATGTCTTGGCCTGATATTTTTCGTTTGTTTTCGAATTCATCTTAGGATGTCAGAGATTCATTTTTATTCAAATTCGAATTAGGCAAATCATGTTTTATTTCCTATTATATAGATATAGATGCTTGGAAGCAACAACTGTCAAAGATATGTTTCACTACTTAGCATTTGTTTGATTCTTTATTACGTACTATTCTCTCAGTGTATGTGTTCGCAGTGAAAAGTCCGTAGAATGTTTGCTTAAACAACAATAGTTTGAATCGTGTTTTGGTCGTCAGTAAGAATTAGAATGACTTATTTTAAATTCAAAACTCTAGTTTTTTTTCGTTGGATGCATGTGTTTTTGAGAAAATTATATTGAATGTACATAGTTTAGAACCAGAATGATATTGCTTTTGAAATAATGCATCGAAATCTTGTGTGGCGCACCTGAATAACAGATAATACACTGTTTTGTTCGTTGGATATTTCTATTGAGATCTGTCATAGTTCGATTGGAATACTAAAGAGTGCGATCACAGAGAAGAAGAATGAGGCAATTTATATTTGTTAAAATAGATAAGATTATGACTGAGCTTTAATAAAATAAGTTGTTGTAAAGGATAATACAAGATCATTTCGCTCCATTGCACGAAATACTCATAAGATTTAGCTAGTTCTTCCGATTGATGTGACGCGTAACAGTACTAGTCGAAATAGAACTGACTGTTTTAACCAGTATTTTGATTAATATTCAGGGAAAAATCCAGCATATTCTGTTTATCACCTATGTCTCAAGATCTAGTAAGAAAAAGTAATGAATCAAAAAAACAAACAATCTCAAATAGATTACTCAGTTTGTAGTTCTTACCAGAGAGAGAGAGAACACTCGATTTTTGTCTTTTATCTTCTATGAAGTAGTAAGTGGATGTGCTTGTTGCTGAAGACAAAGCCTACACTCATATCCTGGCTGTTCTTGAAGTGGTCACCTCCAACAACAACACAGAGGCTTTTTGAAATATTTCGGTTCATGTCATTCGAAACACTTAATCGACTTGAATAGCTTTGTTTAGCAAAATGGTCAGCGTAAAAAAAAAGTTGACAAAAGAGCATGAATCAAAAGTTCGTGAAAGACTCCTGTATTAAACAATAATAAAGTTCTTGCAAAAATTTGAATGATGCCTAATGCTATCAATCTGGATGAATTCTGAAAAACAAATCTGGACAAGTTTGAAAATAGATCGAAAAAAGCAAGCAAATGATGTTTTTGATATCATATACAAAGTATTTTGTATTTGTATTCAGCAATTATGTGAGAGAAAGAATTGAATTCATTCAGTGCCGAGGAAGAAAACGATATCATGTCCAAATTTTATTTAAGCTCGCTCATATAGGACATGAATTGACATTGATCTTACGTCCAATTGCGTTTATTTTTCTTGATTGAACAATCCTTTGTTCAAATACAATTACGAAAGTTTTATTAAGTACCAAACACTTATTACCTAAAAGTGAAACAATTTAGAGCAATTCGTAAACAAATCAGATATTGTTTCTTTTTCTCTTTTAGATATCGACATCTCTAAAACTTTGTTCAACGAAACATTTTTGAACCTTAACAGGTGGTAAGCGATCTTGTTTCTAAGATAAAGTAGAATGCAATAGAAAATATGCCGATAAGAGATCAATAAAAAATATGAGTCTAGCTAATTTAGTATCTATTTTGTTGATTCACCATTTTTTCGATCGATCTTTGTTGTATTTAGCTCGTGATTCGTATTAACAAGTCCATACTAGGTAATATCTCGAAAGGTTATCAATGATGACAAACAACATGATCTTTATTTATCGCCTCTTGCCTGGGAATATTCTGCAAGTTGCTCGACTTCGTCGAGCCTTGCAATTCGTAATGATGAAATATCAATCAGTACATACACCAATCAGTTTCGATGCAGAAAATAATCGTCTTATTCAAGGAGTCAATACTTGGACTGAGAACAACACTGAGAATAATCATGTATTTGCATGGATTGAGAGCATATTCGAAAATGATGAAGAACTCAATGCTATTATTAACAATGAACGTAACAATTCTGAACACTTCGATCTTTCTCGAAGTCTTGTCTTGCGATGTCATCTTGTTTACTATAAAGAAATTTCTCAAAATGATGAGCTTCGTGGATATGATACTTTAATTTTCCACTTCCACGAGGCTGTATTCGATATTGATGCTATGGAAGTGTTTCTACACAATCTTGCTGAAGCTTACACAACAAGTAAATCACCAAAAGAAGACAGCAACTCAACTCTACAAAATGATGATTGTAAATTCATTATGCTTTTCCAGAATAGTAACTTAATCACTTGTCTTTTTTTTGTTATTTAGATTCTGTCGCCGAACGGCAAAAGGCCATGAACATCGCCAGTATATTTTGGCTTCAGACTCTGAAAGAATATGATTTCGATCAGCCACTACAGTTGCCATTCGATAAACGCCGTATTAACGACAAACATCGAACAGGACTTCACACTAGCGTCTTTTTCGATGTAGAGGAAACGCTTTCGCAAGCTTTCTTTAACTATGCTACAATAAATAATATATTACCAATGCATCTGGCACTTGCATGCTATTTTGTGTTTCTGTTCAAATTGACCAATGATGAAAGTGACTTATGTATTGGAATGGACACATCCGATCACTACAGAGCTAAGTTATGGTCATTGACAGGAAAGTTTATCAATCCAATTCCATTGCGATGTCAAATCGATCCTAATTCTTCATTTGATCAACTCGTTGAACACATAAACATGATTGCAACGGAGAGCTTGAAATATTCTTATTTTCCTCTTGAACATATCTTAGCACAACATCAAACGACTAGTAGTCCTGCTTTTCTCAACACTTACTTCAAATTTCGGTCGACACTAATCGAACATAATTTAAGTAAAGTGACACTAGGCGATGCAACCATTTGTGCTATGGCCAATACGATCGAAATCAATGGATACGATGCCGTCAACACTTTGGATTTTTCGCTTAATGTTTGGCATAATCCGACTATTGGGCAACTATCATGCTTGATTCATGCCTCTCTCGACTTATGCGATGCCATTACGATCAATAAAATCGCACAGCGTTTTCATCTCATGCTTGATCAAATATTTTTCAAACGAGATCAATTTCGACAGCCAATCTATGAGTTTTCACTTATGTTACCCGAAGAAATATTAATAATCGAGCCTTTAATTGATACTCATATCTCAGTTCCTCCTGCCCAATGTCTTCAATACGAGTTTGTTCAGCGAACCAGCGAGCATCCGCAAAAAGTGGCGGTTGAACTCGACGAACAATGTATGACCTATAGTGAACTATGTTACCATGCTCAATATCTCGCTCTATATATGCTCAATAAATATGCTGTTAAAACAGCCGAAATCGTTTGTCAATGCATCGAACGAAGTTTTTCAATGGTGAGCTTATTCGAACTGATTTGTTGTAGATTGTGGTTCATCTGTTTTTTTTTCTAGGTTATTGGTATAATATCCATTCAGATGACAGGTGCTGCTTATTGTGGATTATCACCTCAAAGCCCTCAACAACGTTTAAACATTCTTGTCAAAGAAACCGGAAGTCGTTTCGTACTTGTTCATTCGATGACGCAAAACTTGTTCAGTGATGATGTTACTGAACTCAATATTGATGAAATAATCAACTCTCGAAACATTGCTCATAATGTCGATGTTGATCAACTCTCAAGAGTCGCTGTGATACCCGAGAATATCGCCTATGTTATTTTCACTAGTGGATCGACAGGCATACCGAAAGCAGTTAGTTCTTGATTCTGTTTCTGATAAAACGATAATAATTTTGTTTTTTATAGGGTCAACTACGACATCGAAATCTAATTGAATGTATACACAGTTTCGTTCATATTGACATATTCAACAAGAACGATGTAATATTACAAATCGCTCATTGTTCATTCGATGCGCATTTCCTAGATATCGTCGGAGCAATCATTGTCGGTAGCACCTTGGTTATGCTTCATTCTATGGGCAACATGGATTTAGATTATCTTGCTCGAGTACTGAAAGAAAAACAAATCAGCTATTTTTTAATGGTACCCTCTTTAATAAATAGTCTCTTTAATTTTCTTAAAGAGAATAACGATGTATCTACCGTCAAATTGCTACGATCTGTTGGTAGTGTTGGTGAGCTGAATTCGGTTTGATTGAAATAATAAGCAATTGTTTGTTGTTCATTTTAGGCGAAGTTCTCACTGCTAAATTAGTGCGTTTATTAAGAAGTTATGTTGAAGAAAATTGTCTAATATGGAATTTGTATGGGCCATCAGAAATAACAATGGGCTGTACTTATCACAAGGTAGATGAGACATCTGAAAAATCAAATATTTGTATTGGCCGATCTTTTCCTAATTATCAATGCCGCATTGTCAACGAGATGCTTCAACCTGTCATCGTCAACCAGGAAGGTGAATTACTTGTAGGTGGCGTGGGTATATTTGCTGGTTATCTGGGTCGTGACGATTTGACAGCAAAGACACTCATTGAGATCGATGATGAACTTTTTTATCGAACAGGTGATCTTGTACGATTAGACAGCAATGGCTTTGTACATTATGTTGGGCGCAAAGATCACCAAGTAAAATTACGTGGACAACGTATCGAGCTCGGCGAAATCGAACAATGTCTGCTGCAGTCATCACCACAAGTCACTGCTTGTGTTGTTACTAAATATGATGATGAACATTTGGTCGCATACGTGCAAAGTTCTGATATCGATGAGGAATTATTACAGACATATTGTCATTCTCATCTTCCACAGTATATGGTTCCATCAAAGTTTATCATACTCCAACAAGTACCATTGAATGCCAACGGAAAGATGGATCGACAACGTCTTCCAATACCAGACTTTTCGTCGTCGAAATCTTCGACAGTAATCGACTTCAAAATACCACGAAATGAAATAGAAAAACGTGTCCATTCTCTATGGTGCGAAGTGTTACAACACGTAGATGAGCAGATTTCAATCGAAGAAAGTTTCTTTAACATTGGTGGTCATTCACTACTTCTCATACAACTCTATCATCGATATAAGTCAGAATTTGGCTTTGATACTCAAGCCATTTCCATCGCACCATTTCTTCAGTATGCAACCATTGCTGAACACGCCAAATTACTTGAAACAATGAAAACCAACATGCAATCAACACTATTGCAAACAATGCAAATCAATCAAGGTAACAGCTGTTGTACGAAAAATTTTGTGAGACTCTCAGTTAACAAAACAGGAAAGGACGTGGTTCAAATTACTATCATTATTGAATTAGATATTGCAGATATGGCTACTTTTCTAGTGCCAATTGTTGAACTAGAATTTGTAGGGAAAATTTCTGGGTCGATTTCATACTATGTATAGCATCAAAAAATACTACGGCGAAGTAGGGTAGAAATTAATGTAGTAATTTGCTGTGTAACAGCCGTCTAGGGTCGTTTGAGACGCCATGTCCGACGACTCGAATGATCGACATGGGTAGCGATCAACAATACACCATTGCCAAAGGAACTGGAGCTTTCCATCGGATGGCTCTCGAAATATTCATGTCAAAAGTTCCAATGCTCGTGGGCAATCGAAAATATGACATAAAGATTATAACTTTAACTATTTACTAGTATGTAAGTTAATATGTCGTTATCTATTTAATAGAAGATCGTAAATAGGTATCTCAATAGCACTAAATAGTAAACACATATTCACTATGTACTAGTAAAGAAATAAAGATATTATTTACTTTAATTTAAACACATGAAATCAAGATAAATAAATTGTGCTTGATATATACTTAGTATATTCTCAGATAAATAAAATATTCGCTAGTTTACTGATATATAATTATAATTGAGTAGATTCTCACCAATGCACTGGTATATAATACCTATGCATAGTTCCCATTTATTAGTAAATCACTAACTGTTTTGTTTATTGTACCATATTTCCTTGATCATCGAGTAGAGTAAATGTGCCATTCATAGTATAAAAAGTATTCACAACTGAATGTTAATAATTTTTCGAGAACTGGCACGATAAGGAATATATGAAATAGTGTCTGTAAGTAAGACTGAGAACGAATCCACCAGTAAAATAAAAAACCTTACACTTGAGGTGTTCAAAGTCGAGACATATGATCACAAAGAAAATCGGTTTGATCTAATCGTTCTTTTGAACGTCCACAACATATTTCGATAGATTTGTAAACTATCTGTTTGATGGTGAATGTAAAGTCGACATAGAGAATCGAATGTTGGATTCGATATCGGAATTAGATTTTGATCGGATGGAACTGTCAGTTGATGATCTGAGGAGATGTGTTAAATTTTAATTTGAATCAATTTTCTGACGAAGTATCAATCAATTCTCGATTTTGTTTCCAATGAAAATGGCAATGCTGATTAAGGAACGTGATGAGTCTATCTCGAAGTCGAAATAAACACTTGTCAGACCTAGATAAAAACTGGTAACGGACCCTTAGGAAAATTTTTAACAAGAGTATTAAGAGATCTACAATTCAGAAAACTACCAATGTCTCAAAGATCTGCGAAAGAAGGTTAGAGCCTCCGTAGATAGGATTAATAATCTTAGAGGGTTGAATCATTGTTGCGGAGATTAGTGAGCCGAAGAAGAAAGACAATCGTCCAGTGCTCGTAGAGAAAACGAAAACTTCGCAATATTGCGAGTCACTTTTACCGAGTTACCTGCTCAGTGTCTTCACAGGTATGAATATATAATCATGTCACTGTACTAACGTAGCTTATCTAAGAATATCTATTTGCAAGCTCGTACCCCGGAAGTTTGTGAGGAAAGACTTAAAAAATTCTGTGGTAAAAGAACAGTTTCTCTACGGAAAAGTATTCACTTGCTAGAACCTGTTTTTAGCACGTCTTTATTTCCATATTGTTAAAGAAATAAATCGAACTGTATAAATCTACTGATAAATCATTGGAATATAACCTTTCTTAGGTGCTTTTTCCGATTAATTTTCTTTATAGTATGTGCCTGAAATAGATTAAACTATACAACTATACACCATGAATTTCTATTTCAGCCTACAAGATAAAAATAACTATCATCATTTCAAAATATTTGGATGAAATTGATTTCATCTTTATAATCATTTTAGTACAAAATTCTCAAATGCAAAGAGGGCTTTTATTTTCCTTATCATAGGCCGATCAACATTCAAAGTCGATCTAATATTCGTTACAAATAAGCTCCTCTAGGTGATGGGAGAAGTTAATTTTCACGAAAGAATTGCGCTTTGAATAGTTTTAGTAACTATTCAGTTGTAATGTACAGGTAATGGGTTTTAGCTAGGTTAACAAAAATCAACTGCTTGCCGAAGAAAAAGATCGTAGATCGATCGACATTAGAAGCATTATTTCGGAATTGAAAACAAGTTAAATAAGATGAAGATTTGATGATGGGCGAAAAGTAGAGACAGGTCAATCCAATCCCCTACTGAATCACTCTAAACTAATTGCATGCTTGGAATGTGTGTATGAGTGTCTGTATTTCACTAGCAATCAAGCTCAAGATAGCTTTCTAATTGTTTATTGGTGCACTTGTGCAATAGAATTCACTTTTTTAATGTTAGGTAGATAATATTGAATAGACTACATAAGCACAGTGATATGGTTATTATTCAATCCGTGAAGAGACATTCTTGTTCCTGAAATTATGCAGTAACATGTAGTGACCTTTAGTACTATTATCCGTTTCAAAATAGAATGTCCATCGCTGTTTTTTGAATAACTCAAGTCAGGAACAAGCTAGAGACCTGCGTTTTTCACCAATGAAAATAGGAGATCAAGGGACATCGTTCTCTTCGATCATATGTAAGAGAAATTCCTTTTAAAACTAATTATTTTCGAAAAACATATAAAAGGAGGCATGAAAATGACCTGCCATCTACATAAAAGTTTGATTTTGACTTTTGATTTAGATAGAGGAATTTCAGATCTGTAGTTCGATATATAATGCGCTTCCTTTATTTTCATCCCATTTCCATCGCAATGTCGAGCTATAATGATAAAAAGTGAGAAGGTCTAGTGAAAAATTAGCAAAAAATTTCTATTATTTGCGCATGTAAATATATGATTCGATTTGCTCAATGTTAGAATGCAATAAGAAAACCATTTGCATTGTATCTGGAACTATAGATCTGAAGTTCCTCTATCCAAATCAAAGGTCAAAATAAAACTTTTATCTAAATGACAGGTCATTTTCATGCCTTATTTTACATGTTTTTCGAGAATAATTAGTTTTTGAAAGGAATTTCTCTTATACATGATCGAAGAGAACGATGTCCCTCGATCTCCTCTTTTCATTGGTGAAAAACGCAGGTCTCTAGCTCGTTCCTGACTTGAGTTATTCAAAAAACAGCGACGAACATTCTATTTTGAAACGGATAATAGTAGTTTTCTTCTACTCTAATTGAAAAGCTTTCCAAACAATTAAACGTATTTTCTGAATACAAACACAGAACCACCAATTAATGGATTATCGTTTCTGGATCCTAGATATTCTTATATGGGAAAGTAAACATGAAAGCACTACGCTTAGTTTCTACTACAAGTTTCTTTTTGTTTCTCTTTTGTTGCAGTTGTAAACAAAAAGAAGACTTCAATGTCACAGTTTTCAGCATTTATTTATAGTTCATATCTTCTTTAATTTAATTATAATCTTATTAAAAAATAGATCTACTAGTTCATCCAATGAGTATTGTTCAAGAAGAAATGTTTGCCAGTTACAAGAGATCACCTACCGATCCAAAGTACCATTTGGCACTCAAATACAATCTCTCTGAACAGCAATCGCTTATGTTTGATATCGCCAGGTTTCGTAGAGTGGTTCGAACTTTGACATTGTCTCACGATCTATTGCGATCTACCTTTCATATGGTTGGAAGCGAACTAGTTTATCATGAACATATTGATGATCTCGAGAGCAAAATTGACTCTTCAATTATTTGGCAGACGGTCTCTGGTGTTGCCATGCAATCAGCAGATATTCTTGATATTATACGAAAACCATTCGATTTGGAACGTGACCTGCCATTCCGAATCTATCTTATCAAACACATTAGTTCAAATTGTCTCACGATTATTTTTATCGTACATCATATTGCCGCCGACGGTTATAGTCTGACAAAGCTCATACATGTACAACTGTGGGAACTTTACGGCCATGAAGATATTCCTGATTATTTGCTTGTCGCAAGCAAAACTTTTGCTCAACATGTACAGGAGAGATATACTATATCTAAAGAGAAAGCCGAGCAGTGGACGAACGACGTACGCTGGTGGCAAGAACATTACAGCTCAACCATTCGTACGACAATCAAGCTGCCACCGCCCGAAATACCACTTTATGGTTCTGACGATGCTTTGGCTATTGCGACAAATAGAGACAAACACAACAACAGCAGTCTTCAGTGCAAGACATTGAATATTCCAACCGATCTGTGGCAAGCCATGGAGGCTTTATGTATTTCAAGTGAATGCACGCCCTTCACTTTGTGTCTCAGCATTCTCTGGACACTTCTAACACAATATACAGAGGATGACAGATTTAGTATTCACGTCGCTTTCGCTGCACGTCCTCAAACTTATCAAAATACAGTGGGACCTTTTGCTCATGCATTTCCGATCAGCCTAGGCACGAACCAATCGACAACGGATGTCGATCAGGAGGCATTCAACAAGTTCTTAATGAGAACGCGTCGTTTGATATTAGAAGCAAAACAACACGAGATGATCACATTATCCGAAATTTATCTTCAGATGAAGCAATTACAATCAATACCTACACAGGTATCGGTAGCAATGAGTGCTATCAGTATACCGAAAGCTGTGGCACACGTAGATTCATCCGAATGC